TCTAATGGCCATGGCTCTTTTTCAGATATCTTCGCCCTCTTCACGAAATGCCAGAAGGAAATGAGGGCGTCCTTGGGATTTCTAGTAACGTAAACAACCCTACACTCTGATGAATTCAGATTATCAGCCAGAATCTTATAAGGTATGTGGGTATTGAAGATTCTAGGCCCAGCTGGTGGAGCATTGGCTATCGGAATATGGGATGGTAGTGATGGTGGTGGTGGTGGTGGCGGTGACGACGATGACGACGGCGGTGGCAGAGGTAGTGGGGGGACGGTTTTAAATACTAATTTTTTTTAAAGTATTTATGAGAAATAATTTTTAAAAGTATTTTTAAAAAGTTATTCCAAACACACTCTTAAGGATCCTATTTTTTCTATTAAATTTAGGGTGTTAATATTAATCATTAGATTAACTTTAAAGTAAAATTTAAAGCGAACTCAACAGCGAATAGAAAAAGTCATTTTGTTTATTTTTTGAAATTTGAATTATAAGCTACTTTATTATATAGATGTTAACGAGTTTAAGTAATTAATTGATAAACCTCACGAGGTCTCGGTTTAATTTTCCCTTTATTTATTTATACAGCTTGGGCATGTCGTCTCTTTCATCCAGCTACCCTGCTTTCATTACTCCAGTAAAGTAAGCCCCAACATTTTCACATATGAAGCAGCATAGTTATGGACCTCATAATACATATGGCTAGAAAAGAAAGGATGACACACATCATTGATGGTTTCATCTTCCTTGATCCGCGCCAACCTAAACCATTTCTCAATCAGTTCCAGTTTCTGCAACAGTGCTTTTATGATCAGTGCAGGGTAGTGAATAAAGAGATTTACTGGCATAGTATACCTCCAAATACTGATAACCATGCTCATCCAATGCAATGCACATACAAATATTGCTAATGCAATTTTGGTTCCTCTTCTGCATTGATCATTCAGTGCCTTACTGCATCACTGCCTTTTCACTTGAAAACAGAATCAGCAAGAAAACAACTAACCATCATCTCTCAGGCCAAATGCAGATTACTAAAAAAGGTGGAGTAAGAAGGTAANCACATACAAATATTGCTAATGCAATTTTGGTTCCTCTTCTGCATTGATCATTCAGTGCCTTACTGCATCACTGCCCTTTCACTTGAAAACAGAATCAGCAAGAAAACAACTAACCATCATCTCTCAGGCCAAATGCAGATTACTAAAAAAGGTGGAGTAAGAAGGTAAAACTACTTCCATCCACAACACAACGATCACTCAATTGAGTCGATCCTCAAACATTAAGGAAGGAAAAGCACAGTCCTTATTTCCGAAAATGTTCTAAACTGTTTAAACTTGGAAGTGTAACTATAATTCCAAAACATTCCAATTTAAAAGAGAAAATGGAGATCTACCATCCACTCGAATGTCTTAATGCACGATTCCAAAACAGGCCTTGCTAATGGGAATGGCTTTTAACTAATATAGCTGTGCAATAAACACTAATATAGAAATTAATATGTTCATTAAGTCATAAAAAATATGCAGCATCAGAAATATGCATCACAATGGTCCACACCATGCTAACTACAACAGTAAGCTNAATGATTAGCAAAGTTTAGGACTCGTTGTTAAATGAAAGAACAAGCCAGACGACAACCTCTGTAAAACTCCTAAAATGGTGATAGCCAAGATGCGCTCCTAATGATCCCCAAAATGGTCAACAATGTCTCCAATACAGAAATTAATATGTTCATTAAGTCATAAAAAATATGCAGCATCAGAAATATGCATCACAATGGTCCACACCATGCTAACTACAACAGTAAGCTCTCATCCATTTGATTAAAACATTCCAACAAAAAACCAAACCAAAATACAAAAAACAAAAAACGAAAAAAGCTTCCAAACTTGAAACATACAATCCTAAGACCTACATGTAACAGCATCCCCGAGCAGTCAAAGCAGCTCAATTCATCAACTACAAAATGTTCCGAAAAACTCAGCAACAATATCAACCTTCAGGTTCTCTCTGAAGCCCTTATGCCAACACAGGAATGGACCCACCAGCTGCCAAGATTTGTTGCTCCAGCTACATTGAACAGAGCCAGGGTTAAAACAAAGCATGGATATAAAATTAAGAGCAATGAAAGGTTGAAAAGCTTATCTACAAATGAGGAAAAGGTTTAAACCAAAGGGATGAAGAAATAAGTGAAACAAACAAGCAAAGGAGGGGAAAAAAAAAACTCCATTAACTACTTCTTCATCGGACAAATGCTCAGAGAACATGGTGAACAAAAGAAGATGCATTCAGGCCTATGCTGAAGCAGAATAAATCAAGAGTTCAGGAAAGAGAAAATATTTCAAGTAGGATAGGAAAGTATTCCCTTTATGACCTAAAACATGCTGACATCTGCATTTGGATTCTTATTAAGAGCAGGCAACAAGCATTAAATTATGGTTTCTTGAATGATTATTGTGATCATAGGAAAAAACCAGCTCTATGCACTAGATAGAACTTACCTTGAACAAAGTTTCAAGCTTGCTTTTCACGAGAGAGTACTCAAATTTCACTTGTTGCAGGCATCTCATGCACCTGTACCAAAAAAATTTTTAGCATCCCAGCATCAATGGTCCAATATCTTGGTTCAATGAAATTTTGCATGGAAGCTCAGAAACATCATAAATTGGGCTAAATGAAGTGAACACATAACACCGACCATATTTCAAGCCGTGAAGACTGGACAGTAACCACAATTAATGACAGCAAACCCTAACATGCATTTTTTTTTGACAATTATGAGGAATATCTAGCGTTTATTTTCAAAAAAGAAATAGTAAAACCGATATCTAGTCCCAGAGTTCCAGTTTATTTTTCTTAAACTAAACTGGAATAGAAATCTTATTCTTCATATATTTCTGTAGAAATCAAACTTGGGATGAAAGTTGGATGTAATTGGTATTGTTGAGCTTCATGGACATTATGTAGGGTAATGCTAGCATGAATTTTCATGTAGAATGAATATCACTCTTCCTTATAACTAACCAAATAAGAATTAAAACATATTTTATAGCATTTCGAGCCATATCAGCATCGGAAACTACAACCATCACAACCCAATCTCATTCCCCCCACTAATTTGGACGAAACATTATGCCTTGTGCGAGAACATATCAGTTAAGATTTTTTAGGATTTCTTGCATGACTGTCATGACAGTGGTCCAAATTATATACCAAAACAAAGTCATTTCACTAATAAATCAGTCAATGCATTTCGTGAGCAAACAATTTTTTGTCACTAATTTTGCACAATATCTCTACGATTTACACATGCTGACAGAAAAAGTACATAGATATATGATACCAGTTTGAAGCAAACTCACNGACCAAATTATATACCAAAACAAAGTCATTCACTAATAAATCAGTCAATGCATTTCGTGAGCAAACAATTTTTTGTCACTAGTTTTGCACAATATCTCTACGATTTACACATGCTGACAGAAAAAGTACATAGATATATGATACCAGTTTGAAGCAAACTCACCCTTCAAGGTTTCTCCCATCACAATGAGCTCTAAAGGCAACACATGCATTCTTCACTCTCTGTGCACCTATGCTGCACATAATTTCTAACATAGAATTAACAAAACTATAAAATAATGAATTTTGACTAAACCTTCCAATATAATTTTTTAAACTACATATGATATCAAGTTTCCCATTTCTTGACAGAACGACTCATAATTATGGGTTTAAATTGAAGTTACTCATTTGTCCTGAATATCTCAATACATAAAAGCAATCACGTAGCTAACTTAGCAAAAGGGANACAAAATAATGAATTTTGACTAAACCTTCCAATATAATTTTTTAAACTACATATGATATCAAGTTTCTCATTTCTTGACAGAACGACTCATAATTATGGGTTTAAATTGAAGTTACTCATTTGTCCTGAATATCTCAATACATAAAAGCAATCACGTAGCTAACTTAGCAAAAGGGAAAAATAGTTGAAGCGATAAGTCGAAGAAAGAGGGTGACACCTTGAACTACTACCCTTGAACTGGTGGACATGGGCATCAACCTGCTTATAATCTACAATCTGCTGTTGTCTGTAAGATTGAAAACAACCAAATAAAACTAAATCTCAAATTCAACCTTACCTATATGAAATCAAGAAATAAAATTAACCCAAGAACAATGAATAGAAAAAGAGAATTCTCACAGAGCGCTGGCCAGANATAACCAAATAAAACTAAATCTCAAATTCAACCTTACCTATATGAAATCAAGAAATATAATTAACCCAAGAACAATGAATAGAAAAAGAGAATTCTCACAGAGCGCTGGCCAGATTGTTAATAAGTTTCTCAGAATCCTCAAAGAAAAGAGACACCACCTCAACCACAAAATCTGGGTTACTCTCATCTTGCAGTTTCTGNGATTGTTAATAAGTTTCTCAGAATCCTCAAAGAAAAGAGACACCACCTCAACCACAAAATCTGGGTTACTCTCATCTTGCAGTTTCTGAAGCTGTACAAACTGATCATCCAAGAACCCCTTTTTTCACACCATAACAGAAACCAATCATTAAAACAACCTTAAAGACATAAAACCTATGCCACGGGAAATGAAAATAATCCAAGAAAAATAAACCCAGATGAAAATGTTCCCCAATCTTGATTTATTTATTTATTTTTTTGGCGAAGAATAAACTGACCTCACGATACAGAGATGTGGAGTAATCAACAAATTGTTTCTGCAACTGACTGACGACATCCATGATAAATTGCTTGATTGGTCGTACTCAATAACCCTTTTAACTCTTTCTGACTCTCATTCAACTTAAAAACCATCGAACTTCACAGATCTTATAGACCCATCTCCAAAATTCTCACATATATAAATACTGCAAAGAATTACAGATGTAAAGAATGTCAAAACGTTATGGAATTATAAGGGTCTGATGGAGATATAGTATTGACTAATTGACTTACCAAAAGTGAGAGCCCAGACATCAATGTTAATTGGCAGTTTTGGGTAGTAATAAAAGTGGGTCATTTCAAGAACAAAACGAAAATTACAGAAAAAAGAAAAAATTTAGATCAACGTACGCATATTTTTTTGATTAATTTTTTCTTTGGTCTAATCAAATACAAATCATTTATATCTNTTAAATGATCAACGTACGCATATTTTTTTGATTAATTTTTTCTTTGGTCTAATCAAATACAAATCATTTATATCAAGGCTAAAAAATTCATAAAAAATTTAGGTTAAATGTCTTATGATCTAACCCTAATAAAATTATTAAATTTTAAATTAAAATATATAAATTTTTAATTCATTCTTGTACCTTGCGGTTTTAATGTCCTTCTGTTGCGTCTCAGAGAATCCCAACCTGTACCTTCCTTTTTTATTTTCGTCCACCATTTATGAAAGGTCCATAGGCCCACAAATCACATAATGTCGTACATTTTTATTCCATGCGGCACAATGTGCACTAGCTGTTCATACCTTATTCATTTGGACTTGATTATGGTACCTAAAAAAAAAAAAAATTATAACCTTACTTGTAAGAGCAATGTTATAGGAATTTGTGCCCGAAGATTTTTGCATAATGGATGAAACGTGAATAGATCTTTCTTTCGATGAACTCGCTCGTTGATGTGACAAATTTGTAACAAAGAATGAGTTGAAAAAGCCAAATAATAGTCTAAGGAGTAGTGATGAATTGTTCCAGGGGACGTCCAACAGATTCCAATGGATTGCAAGACGTTCCTGGCACACAGAGAAACAAGTTAGAAGGACGCCAGAGTATTTTTTGGCGTATCCTCTTTAACGATCAAGTTAATTCTTTGAAAGAGGGGCAGAAGAAAATATTGTATAGCTCTTGAGAGGTGATTTTGCATACCTTTGTAATGTGTTTTTGAGAACTATTTATATTTTTCACGACTCATCATTACTGGTAGTCTAAGCAATAAGTAACCTTCAGAGATAGGGCAGTGTGCCTCCTATTTTGCATGAAGAAAGTTCCAGTATTAATTGTTTGGCCAGCCGAACACTTAATGCTTTTTTTCCAATGTAGACGTATTTAATGCTTTTACTTCTCGGCTTCTTAAGCCATAGTAAATGTCTCAACAATTGAGAATCCTTTAAATATTTGCCAGTGATAGTCGCATATCAAAAGGGGTACTTTTGTTTTTTTACCCCATATTTCTGCACTGTGTGAAACGTGTTCGTCTCCCCTTGGTTGAATGTCTTGTTAGCCTAGACATTTTGACACCATTGTGCAAAGTACTTTCATGATGGCTAGATTATTGGAGACTGATCAGTTGTCAATCAGTAGCCTTTCCAGGAACAGGAGACATGGCAGACCAGAGCTCCAGTAGAATCCTTTGGAACGGAGTACACGCATCTGCCTCGGGGTGGAGGTACCCTTGAAGCCATGGGGGATCTGACTTGCCAAGGGCATCGATGTACCTCAGTGCCAAGGAACATACCAGTTAAAGCAAGGAGTATTGGTGCCGAGGGCACGTGTCATTTNATGGGGGATCTGACTTGCCAAGGGCATCGATGTACATCAGTGCCAAGGAACATACCAGTTAAAGCAAGGAGTATTGGTGCCGAGGGCACGTGTCATTTGATCCAGCCTTTCCCAAAAGTGTCTCATATTAGAATCTTATTTGGAGATTTAATTTGGGAATCTAATAATATGATTTCAATGCAACGATTGAATTAATTGTGAGTTTTAATATTAAATAAAACTAACAATCAATTCAATAGTTGTACATCATTAAGTCCTTAAATTAGGTTCAAATAACATTTTTCTACTTCTAAATTTACTATATTTAAAAAAAATTTTACAATTTTTTTGGATTATTTTACAACTAAAAAGTTTAATACTTTGTTAGTGATTTATCATCGCTGTAGGTGTTTTTACTATTTTTTTTGATACAAAAAATTTTATTATTTTTTTTAGGTGATTTATCACATTTATGAGTGTTTTTTTATCACTGTTATAGTACCGAAGAGAAGTGGTATCACAATAGTGATAAAAACACTAACAAATATAATAAATGTTGATATAGTACCAAAAAAAATTAAAAATTCTCGGTACTATAGACAACTCTTGTTCATTTTTCATGCGCAACAGCCTTATGATATGCAATAATTACATTGTATTAATAAAAGAAATGATAATACAAGATTATCTTAAAATAGATAAAAACAGAGATCAAATAATATAACAATGATATGTTGATAATTTGAGTCTCATTTTTTTTTATCAATCTAAATATAATTTTACTAATCTATAATCCCTATTTTTTGTTTCATTTTTTGTCAGTCTAGCATTATCTTTGAGTAAATAATACTCCCTTCAAATTTAGTGCATATCTCCTATGGTAAAATTGAAAGGTCTTGTCAGAAAAAACTTTGATATGGATGAGGCTATTCTTTCTTATTTTGGCATTATATCTCACTCAGACAATTAAACAACAAATCTTATTGTATGTTGTCCGAAAAAGTATGATTTATTAAACGCAGACTCTTAGTTATCTATTACATAGTCTTTTTAGTATTTTTTGACCAATGAAATTCACTTGAAGTCGTTGTATTGTAAGCTCTACATTTGAAGCTTTAGTATTGTCACTCCTTACTTAATAATAGCTTGTTGTTCGAAATCTTAGGAGACTAAGTGTATTTTATACTATATAATAAGTATAGNAGCTTTAGTATTGTCACTCCTTACTTAATAATAGCTTCTTGTTCGAAATCTTAGGAGACTAAGTGTATTTTATACTTTATAATAAGTATAAGGTTTGGAGTTGGCAAGAATTTTTGGAATTTACCCAAGTTGTTCTGAAGTTTCATCAATTGTTTGATAACATGCATCTCCAGTTATTTGAGATTTAGAATATAATATTAGTGTCAATCTTTACATAAAAGTGCCAAATGTACTAAATCTTATGGATGAAGAGGAAGAGGCATATCAATAAGAAAACAACCATGCTACCATCTGAACTATTACTGAGATTTCTGTGAGTCCAATTTGTCTTCCAATGGCAATGATGATTCTTTTCTTTTCAATAAATTTTAGTATTATAAGGGGAGTTTTTGGAATTTCATTGTTGCTTCACACGTCAATAGTATCCGAACCGAATAATGCTATGTTCATCAAATCACTTGCAGCTGTTGGATCAGTGATGATTTAGCGTAAGTTTGATACACAAATTTAGCGTATAAAGAATTAATCATCCATAGCTAACAAGTAGTTACTTACAAAAATTTGTGCCAGACATATTCTTATTCTATAATTTGATGATGAGTTACACCTCCCTGTAAAGGAGGTGATTTAATTCACAAACCCCTTCCTTTTTCCAAAAGGCCTAATATGAAAAGACGTAGAGTCAACCTGCAGAGTATCAGCTTATTTCTTGTATTTAAATTTGATTTCTTACTTTTTTTTTAAAAAAAATCAGTGAATTTCTCTGAAAAAAATGGATTCAATCTCTCCCATCATACAAGAGTAATATCTGTAGGTTTTTGGTTTCCTTGTAGGCATGGTCTTGGTTTGGTATAGCATTAGAGGAAACTTGTTATAGTTTTGCAGCTACATAGAAAAGACAGGTGAAAGAGGGAGGTCATTTAGAACATGCAGTCTCCAGAAGGGGCACCACCAGAGGCGTTGTCGCGGGTGTAAACACCAACCAAAGTTGCCCACCCTACTCTCGTTAACATGTAACTTGGAAAGTCGAATCACAAAAACCACCCAAGACCATAAACAATTGATGACAACCTGAGCATGCCCATGATGCATATAGGGATCTTTAGAGAGTAGATCCATATGCGGATTCAATTAGGACTGGTCCGGACTACATTTAGCAAGTAGCATTCATCAGCAAATGAAACTTGGAAAATATATGAACATTGATAACCATAATGTTATTTCAATCATTTCCTTTTTTTTTTTTTCCCTTTTTTCTAATAAATAAAGAATATTATTATACAGCTTGTAGAGAACTTGATCACACCGAAACCATATGTACATGCTAGCTTGAGATGAAGTTCAAACCAGGGAATGCAAACCCAAATCAACTACTAAATTCCCCTTGACCCAATGCTAGACCCTAAATGAATCTATGAATTTCCATCTATATAATATACAGGAGAGAGAGAGCGAGAGAGAGAGAGAGAGAGAGATGATCACATACGCTGTCAAGCAATTCCACTTCAATCATTGACGAATGTGATCAGCACCATTGTCCTCGATAATATTATGAACACAATTACTCTGTATATACCAACAAACTGTCGATTTTTCTTGTAGTCAAGGTAGCAACAAATCAACCTGAAGAAAAGAAAGAGCCATGAAGACTCGAATAACATAAAATAACCAGAAACTAGAAGCCACTGATTTAATATAGCCACCAATATTGCAATAATTAGACACAACATGGCTGCGCCCATGACATTCAGATTTCTACCTTCAGAGAAGTCAAAACATGTCACCAAGAAGTCCACCATCCTCCCGATCATCCTGGGGTTTTTCCCACTCACCGAGGCTACCGCTTCTCTCCACATCATCAGTTTCAACTTCGGTTAACTTGCAGCATCCATTAAACTCTGCCACCTTACAGTAATTCCCCTGAAAAAATGACCCAAGAGGGTTAGGCACCTCGACAAGAATATTCATAGAAAAATCAAATTGTTTAGCACTTAATATCATGACCTCGCCTACCCCATCAGGATTTGAAATTGGCGCTTCTTTGACCTTTAGTCTTCTGCAAGAAGGCAAGGTGCTCTCTAACAAGGATGACCCGTTTGCCATAGAATGGTCAACATGAGAATTAGCATTCTGGGTATGTTTAGAAGGTAAAGGCACGATGGTTGTAGATTTCTGGTTCACCATTGGGGGCTCAAGATTGGTACTCCCCTTTCTTTCCTCGTGTAACTCTAGAGAATGGCTAGTGGGTGTAATAGACCTCTCAGTATTCAGTTGATCAAAATCAAGCAAATTCTCAATTCTTCTCGATGACCCTGAGGGAAATTTTGAGAGTACAGTGAGTTCCACATTTCACGGTTCGACCAATACCAAGGCAGAAAAGAAAAAGGAAATATTTATTACTCCAAACAACAATAAATTCAAGCATACATTACTACAGCCTCTGTTTTTTACCACAAATGAAATCAGAGAAGTGAGTCCCTGCTGTCCGTTAGGACTTGGGCAGCACACTGTCACAACTCTAATGATACTAGGCAATACTATTGAAGAATATTCACATTCTTAAGTGGTAAGGTGTAAGCTTCATGCTTTTCAGCATTTTGAAAAATGCGAAGAATGATTTGCCAGAAAGACAAAAGCGAAGAAATGTGTTGTTCAAGCAACCACATTTCAACAGTGCGCCCTCGATAGAATGCCATTTAAGCATTGTCGGCAGAATAACAAATGTCTTACCCCCATCCGAGCTTTCAGTGGAGCTAAGGGATGCCGGCTTTGAATGACAAATGACAGTTTCTTCAGTAACCTTGTCTCTAGCTTGATCAGTTTCCAAAGATGAAGCATTAGGATATCTTTCCCTAGAAGGCCCTCTACAAAACACAATTAACCACACACAACTTCCAAGTGAGACCAAGCAACAACAGACACATGCAGTTGTATGCACATGTGCAAGCAGAACCACACACAGAACAATAATATTTCAACCCATAAGCGAAATATCAGTTTTATAACTTGGGAAGCCGCCAGGTTATCANCTACAAAACACAATTAACCACACACAACTTCCAAGTGAGACCAAGCAACAACAGACAGATGCAGTTGTATGCACATGTGCAAGCAGAACCACACAGTGAACAATAATATTTCAACCCATAAGCGAAATATCAGTTTTATAACTTGGGAAGCCGCCAGGTTATCACAATTTATAAAAAGGCAGGCACAAATTTTTTATTAGTTCCTGAGCATATAGAATACCTCCAAAAATTGATGCGAGGACTACCAACAGCATGCATGGTTTCGGAGATGATTGTGGTGATCATAAAAATGTGTTAAATTGAAGATATAGTGTTACCAACAGCGATAACTGTGGTAATGGTTCTATTCTTTTCTAAAGTTCACATTTCAGTATTTATTGCAGTAATATCTGCTAAAACAGACTGATAATAATCATCTTATCAACTATATCCAATTCTTCTATTTGGGAAGGAGCATCAACTTCATTTAATGGTTGCATATTCACCACGCTTGACACACTTTTGTGGAGCTCTATGGCAAGTTAGCACTATTTATGTAGCAACCTACATGCCTCTTTTGGCATTGACGATATAACATGAAGTAAATTTACCCTAAACATACTTCTCAATCGAAAACTAGATTCTTTAATAAAAGTTTCATTTTATACACCTAGCACTTAATCGGTGTACTTCCACTAAGAAGTCTATTACCATATTGAAACCAACACTTCATGAACAGGAAATTAAACTTAACCAAAATCTTCAGCAAGATATAAATATAAACATTCAAATCAAGAGTCACCAGAATATATTACAGATAAAGTTACCAGAACCTGGAAGATCTGAATGTGGTCATCACCTGTCATTCCAGCCAGATTTGATGCTATGGAAATGGTCAAACACAGGCAATAAATCCTTCCGTCTTATTTCAACTATATAAAACGGGACCTTCTCGATTTCAAACTCTCCACCAGTGTAACCGTCCACTCTTGGAGGGATCATTGTATAGAAATGAATCTAGACCAATGACAAAGAATAATCAAAACAAAAATAGAACACCAGATACAAGGGCATCACGAATCTAATAGACTATACCTTGGATTTTTGCCATATTGGTAACCTCCCAGAATTTATTTGCACCTCAGCACTGGATAGATGCAAGTGGGATCTATCAGGTGGCTTAACTGAATCACTTTTCACCAACCTTTTCTCCATGACAGAGTGATTTATCTCCGGAAAATTTGTTCTATAGCTATCAGTTATCCCTCCAGCTTCTTGAGAATCAAATGTATTCCCTGAAAACCCTTCCTCTCTCTCTGGACTATCTGATGGTCTGCATACATCCCACCATTGAACGGGTTCAACTTTCACCCTTAACTCCTCATCTTGCAAATGTACATATGAGGTTGACCGAATTTTTGAACGACTCTCACTCAGTTCTGCCCCAATTAATGGCATAAGCTCATGTTGAATCACAAATCCTGATGGAGTATAAACTAAAAGATGCTCCAAGGAATTAACCCTACAGCCAACCTCCTGAAAACCCCAAGATATGGAATTGTGAAAAACAGCAGCAACAGCACCAGATGGCATACTAACCTTTCCTGCTGCTGAAGTAGCAGCATTGCTAACTGAATTAAGAAGTCCAGAGTTATTATTTTTTATCCTGCTCACCACAGAAAGGGTAACAGGGGCAGGAGGTGGAGACAACTTCTGGTTTATGGTGAAAGATGAAGTAGACCACCATGGTAGAGATACAGCAGGACACGGGGAGGGAACTTCATCGTGATAATTAAGAGTTTGAAAGCTGGTATCGCCACCAAAAGGAGATAGAACAAAAATATGGCAAGTCCCCTTGGATGAAACAATAGCAATCCACTGACTATAATTACTGAAGGAAATGTCTTGGATGATCTGCCAAATAAAGAACAGCACAGGGAAGAAGATCACATGAACTTAGAGCACTTGAAATGAAAGGGAAAAAATGAATACCAAGAATTAGATGTTTACTAACAGCTGTTGTCATTCCCCGATACAACTTGTAAAGATGCACATGAGAAGAGCTCCAGTCATAGGTTTGATCGTCTGAAATATTATCTGTACGTTTACGAGACGGCATGATCCGGAAAATATTTACACTATTTCCATGTACTGAAGCAGTAACCAGAAGGGTACCACTAGGATCGAAACATAACGCAGATATCGGACTGGTATGAGCTCTAAATTGGGAAATAATAGCACCAGAATCAACATCCTTAACAACAACCTGCATTAAACATCGTAATCAGAAAAGACAAAAAAAAACCCCTCACAATCAGAAAAACATAAAATCTAGTGACTTTTCAGTTGCCAGAAATAACATGTACATCTACACTTTCCTAATCATATAATGCTAATTATAATCTTTTCTTCTTTTCCCTTGCTGGCTTATGATTTCATTAACCCAATGAACCATAGAGGCTTTGTTCATTCCAATAGGAGCAAAATAAAGAAAATAATTTCAGTTTGTCATTGATATTGGCAGCATATTATTGCGACTGAAATGATAGTCGCCTTATGTTGATGACTTGCACAATATGAAAAACATATAGTCAACATACTTGGCCAAGTTTCTAAAACTGCCATACCCATTATAACAAGGAACTTAATTTTTCTGCATTCGAGTTCAGTATTATTATTGACTAAGCAACCATAAATTCAATTTTAGCAAGCGAAGTGGTCACAGGATGCCAATTTCATTCTAAGAATCAACATTTTCAAAGAAACCCAATAGATCAAAAAACCAGACAGAACTTCTTAGTACTTCTATGGTTTTGCCAAATGCCTAACCTAGGAAAATAAAGATTAGATATTTGGATATTATAACGATTACAGTACTATCACGGTTACACAAAACTAACCATCCCAGCATTCTCTATCTCTGATGCTGCAGGCCTCCCAACTTTCCGGCCTGGAGAACTAGGACCATCTGCAAGCAGCAGCTCTGGGCAGTATTTAGAGAGTTTTTTGTATCCCACGTCTCCCAGATTAATTATCCCAGCAGCCAACTGTTTGCTTGACGCCATCGCATATCGAGCCACCAAACTACCACTGCCTGGTGATGTTGATGGACCAAGTCCAGAAGGAGTGAGATTCTTTGGGCATAAGCGACCAGTGTTGGACACAAGCGGATTATTGGAAACATAAGCTAACCACCTTGAACCTAAAGCCATTGGACCATACCCAATATTGACCCCAACCATACCTTGTCCCCCAAACTGAGGAATGGGATAGGTGAGAACACTGAATTTGTTCTCAAGAGTAAGGGCATCAATGCAGTATATCTGCAACCAAATTGATCAGTATTAAGCCATGAAATTTCTGGTCGCATCAGCAATCTTACTCAAATAAAGTACATGAACTTAGTACTATAAACAGGACTGTATCAAATAAGCTATTAACATTTATAGCAACATATGTACACAGATGGAAGTACTTGTTCAGGCCTTTTTAGTAGCAAGATTTCCCAACTCATAGCTACAACAAAATCTACTACATTATATCTAAGAAAGGATAAGAAATATCAGACCCATACGAAGACTTCAAAGAGAAGCATCTCCGCCACAGACGTAAAAGGGAATAATATCAAAAGGCAAAGAAGATTCAAAGACGAACGTGTCAGTGAAATAGTAGAATTTTACCCTAAAGAAGAATAGCAGATTTTGTAATCAGTCTACTATCCCAAATCTATGATATTAAGTACAAAAAGGTGTAATATTAGTTATGTTGCAGCTTACTTGCATTTCAAGACCCAGAGCTACCATCCGAGGACTACATCTAACCATTAACACTGCCGACCGGAACCTGAGGACCTGCATGTAACAGTTAGTCCTAAGAGAGTAAAACCGAACAGCCGTAGGAGAGTTGATGGCACTCCCTGATGGAGATCCCATTATACCATCTCTGCCATACCCACCCAAATGGCTATGATTTTGACCAAGGCTTGACCTGTTCTTGTCATCTCTCGTAACAACCAATAGTAAAGGATGCGATGACCTGAATCCTTCATTACCATCATACTTTGCAGGAATTGGAAGCATCTGTAAGAATGTAACTGGATCCTCATGCTTTGAGACCAATTCACTGAAATTAGAGGCGTCCTCAACATCAATAACTTGGAAACCATTCTGGTAACCCAGTAAGAGAACATGCCTGAAAGCAACCGGACCAAGCTCTAATTTGTCAAAACCAGCCCACATTACCTGCTTTACCAATAAAAATTCAGAAATTGGTGCTGGTAAATGAAGTGTAATAAAAGTACAACTAGTAAGAATTGCACAAAATAAAGAATCAGGACCAACTACTTGGTGGCTCCAGAGGATAACACACTCTAAAGAAATGAAGCATTGATATAAAACCTACCGAGTTCACACCAACAAGATGAAGTAAATTGACACGACTTTTATATTTCACATGTGCATCTTAAGAATAACTGTCATCCAAAGATTGGTCCTGCAAAAATACTCTTTCATAATAGTTTATACTTTATAGAGAGAGCTCTATAAGCCAACAATCTCTACCCCCACCTAACAAGGCTCGTCACATTGTTGACTCAAACTGTTGGACACATTATAAGACAAAAGCAAACATTCTTATAATCTCTCTCAGTCATGTCAGCCACCCTTTTCTCTTAGAACCTTACCAGAGTGTCCCTACTGAAAACTAACATTTAAAAGATGAAAACAACTTGCATTGACTAGATAAAAGGTATTCCTCTTGTGTTGCTACTTCTAAATACACCACACAACACATAATAATGCAGCTTTCCATGCTAAATTCACTTATCCATTGTAAAATCTGGATGAATCATTTTTGTTTGACAACATGGGTAATGTAAGCTAGCATTTTATCAAAAAATATGGCATTTTATAGAGCGGTGGAACAGAATTTATGTAGTTGACCTCAAATTGTTGGAATAAGATTTTGTTTAGTTGATTGTATGTGCAATGAAAGGCAACACAACACAACTTCTATGACATGGCATGTCTCGAGCTAATTAAATAGTTGGAATAAGGTTTTGTTTAGTTGAGTTGTGCACTGAAAGGCAACACAACTCAACTTCTATAACATGGCATGTCTCGAACTAAAGAGATTGATTTCAAAATGAAAGAAGAATTCAAACAATTAACTATTAACAATGAACTACTAACAATGTTCACCAGAGAAAGACATAAAAATCACACATACAATATGAGGTCAAATAATGTTCTTTGTAAATACAAAACAAAATGTCAAAATTCAAAGTATGTGTTTATAAGAGAAATTGCTAACCCAAAATTAAGTTCAAAAACATGTAATCTTGTTCTTCAAAGTGAAAAAGAATGCCTATGAGCTTATAGCACAACCCCTTCCAAACAAATCAAAATCCCTCTCACTCTTTCCCATCTCCTCATTTGAATTGAAAGTTGAATTTTCACTAATCACCTCACTTGGAAAAGAAGTAAAATAGCATGTTTCATGCTACTTATTGTTGCACAGAAACTGGGTAATTAAGAAAGAAGCAGACAATACAAAACGAGGGGAGCCAAACAGACACACGTAGGATACTATGCCAGGAAACTTCCCAAAGGGTTTGTCAACAAAATTAAGTTGTATTTCTCCTTCTTTTGTAATTAGTTGTCACCGACCATTTTATTGGTTCTACATTTTTTCTTTCTTCACCCACCTCCGCCACCTCCTCTTCCTAGCTCTCTTCTTGTATGTTCGGGGCTTCAAAATTCCAATTCTTCAAACTCCCCCATGACACTGAAACCGCAATAGCTGGATGTTGATAACATATAATGTTTTCTGTAACCTAACACCTTTGACATAGTGCCATTTAGTGCCAGCAGATCATATAGGTGTTTNCTGGATGTTGATAACATATAATGTTTTCTGTAACCTAACACCTTTGACATAGTGCCAGCAGATCATATAGGAGTTCAAAATAGAGATACATCATAAAATTTGGTTAAAATGGATCCGTTCAGGCTTTAGCATTTAATGAGAGAGAAAAAGAAGTCAAACACTATATTAGTTAGAGACAGGTATTAAATTCCTAAAGCAAATAACTGAAAAAACCCCATGTAAAGAAAGAAATATACTTTCGATTCTTCACGTATTAGTTAGACGATGGGGAAAAAAAGATGGTGTTTAATCAAATATAATGGCCACTAGATAAAGTGTTATTGATCTAAATATAGTTCAAATAAGTCTAAAAATTTACCTGATGATATATCATATGTAACATCCTGATTCATCGAGTATCATATAACTTCCAAACAAATTCAAACGGAAAGAGGAAAAACAAACTATTAGATGCAAGTAATAGACAATCAGACGCTTCTAAAGACAAATATATTAGTTCAAAAATATATGCAAATATGCGGTACCTTTCTCTTTCTTTCTGCACCAAATACATGGATTATACACGTACTTGCTCTCAGGCATTAACTGAAAGTATTCGTTCCAAAAGGAGTTCATGTTCCAAAATCAATTCGAAGAAAATTCATACAAACACCCGGGGGGCAACTTGAACCAAAACAAATCCAAATTATTTAATATTGACATCAGCAAATAAAAATTCATCAGTTCAACCTAAAGAGAGATTGAAAAGGTAAGTGAAATAGTAACCAATAGAGCAAAAATTTTAGATCAAATAAAGACGACAATAAAAGACCTGATCTTTGTGAGCATCAGCGGAAGCGGAAATCGAAGCGGCGACGGAAGCACCGGCCGAGCGAACGACAGTGCTAGCATTAGTGGACACAGTCTTGAGACAAGACGATATAATCTTTAAAGAATTAGGTAATAATCCGCCGTTTTTGCCTTTCCCTTTTTTCATCATCCTTCAGCTAAACCCCTCTCACAGGGAAATTCTACTCCACCACCTTCATCCACGTCCACAAACACCGACTCCGCCGCCGTAGCCGACGAGTCTCCCTGATCACCCACGATCATCCGATAACTCCAATCGAAATCTGACACACGCGAAAAAAACAAGATTTTCTCCTAACGTTCGTATAACCAAGTAAGGTTGGCGGTGGTGTTGTGTTCCAGTTTCTCTTTCTTGACTTGAACATTCTCTCTCTCTCTCTCCAACTACTCTACCACTCTCTCTTTATAGACAACTCCTCCACCACCGCCTGCTGAGCTGCGTGGACCGTAAGTTGTTTTTTGTTTGGATTAATTATAAAATACTCCCTTTAACTTTAGATAGTTTGCAACTCACTCCTTCAGATTTTAATTTTAACAAATAGTCCCTTTTAAGTTTGAATATTTTGAAATTAACCCTCAAAGTTATTTTTAGACAAAAAAAATTGACAAAAGTTAGACATTTTAAATTCACGTGATCTTTACTTTATTGAAAAAAAATAATTATCCTTACACCTATTTCCCCCCAATACCAAATATTCATACTTTCTCATTTACCTTTATACCCTTCCATTCTCCACTACCTCAAATAATTAGCTCTCAATCTCTTTTCCTTTTCCCCTTCCCCCTTCTCCCTTCCCCCTCTCGGTATAAAACTTTCCCTTCCCTGTGATGACATAAATGTCAAGGTTTCCTAATTTTTTAGTGTTATATTTTTTGTTTTCTTATATTNATGACATAAATGTCAAGGTTTCCTAATTTTTTAGTGTTATATTTTTTGTTTTCTTATATTTTTGGGGATAAAATTGGTATATCAAAAGGCAAAAATTTCTAGTCAAAAAAAAAAAAGAAAAAAATATGGAAAATAACGTACAAGACAAAGGTGTAACGATTCTTTCTAGTGTTCAACTATTTTTGTTAGTCAATTTAATCTACTTTAAAACTTGGAAAGGATAAATTATAGTATTTAAAACCATAGAAAACTAATTGCAATAAAGGACATTGTTGGAGGGGATAAATTATAATTAACCCTATTTTGTTTTTCATGTAATGTAATATGAGTGTGATATAAATTTAAAAAGTAGACTTAATAACTACAACTATTGAATATGTATTGAGTTTTAATATAATGAAATCAATTGTTGTAATTATTAAATCTATTTTTTAAGTTTATTTTTTAAATTTATGTAACATTATTCTTCATATAATTGTTGAAGTGTTAACTAGAATAAGCTTAATCAAGATCTTCGGTTCGAGACTTGAGAATGCAGTTGGGTTTAAATACTCAATATGGAGAGCTTTTGCCACCCTTGTGGTCATGCCTGGCTCAAATCCGGATTAGTCGAAGCCCATTGTGGTTAACGAACACTGGATGATTTACACGAAAAAAAAATTAAATAAGTGTTAACTAGAATAGAGAGAGAAATTGTGAGTTTGTGTTATTCACGGTTAGGGTTGATAATCGAATCGAGTTTTGTACATTCAAACTAAATTTTTTAAATGAGTTTAAACAATTGTTCAATCTCGATTTATTTAGAATATGAACCAAACTCGAGTTGAATTATTTTTGAATCGAGCCTGCATAGCTCGGCTTAATTATTCATGGTGTCATAATTATTAGTCCAATTATTGTAAGTAAGTTTCGGATTATCTTTGGGTATAAAATTGAATATAAAGAATTTGGTAAGTATGTGATGTTGGATGTATGCAGGTACAAGTAAGCTCAAAATGGTGTGGCCAAGCTATATATTGGGTAATAGAAATTGATCACTCGTGTTGATGTAAAACCAATATTGTCGTTAAGAATCAATGTGTTCTGCTCTATAGCTATTTGCCAAACTATTGTTACTTGGACCAGTCTAGATATTGAAAGGTAGAGCTTGAGGTTACCTTACACTACTCAAAATCGATGACTGGTTTCCTGTTTCATGAACGATATCACATGGACGCACTGTGGCACGGGTCATGATAAGCGGAAATCATACACAAGAAAGAAGTTTTACACGAGTTTGGTCGATTGTACATTGATCTATCGAGAAACTATAAAGTCTCCTGTAAGCACCCCTTCTTAGGTTGACATTTGGCTTTGGCCTTACTTGTTCAGTTTTAGCTCATTTTTTTGATTAATATGTATCTTTGCCATGACTGTTCCCANGATTAGTCGAAGCCCATTGTGGTTAACGAACACTGGATGATTTACACGAAAAAAAAATTAAATAAGTGTTAACTAGAATAGAGAGAGAAATTGTGAGTTTGTGTTATTCACGGTTAGGGTTGATAATCGAATCGAGTTTTGTACATTCAAACTAAATTTTTTAAACNGATTAGTCGAAGCCCATTGTGGTTAACGAACACTGGATGATTTACACGAAAAAAAAAAATTAAATAAGTGTTAACTAGAATAGAGAGAGAAATTGTGAGTTTGTGTTATTCACGGTTAGGATTGATAATCGAATCGAGTTTTGTACATTCAAACTAAATTTTTTAAATGAGTTTAAACAATTGTTCAATCTCGATTTATTTAGAATATGAACCAAACTCGAGTTGAATTATTTTTGAATCGAGCCTGCATAGCTCGGCTTAATTATTCATGGTGTCATAATTATTAGTCCAATTATTGTAAGTAAGTTTCGGATTATCTTTGGGTATAAAATTGAATATAAAGAATTTGGTAAGTATGTGATGTTGGATGTATGCAGGTACAAGTAAGCTCAAAATGGTGTGGCCAAGCTATATATTGGGTAATAGAAATTGATCACTCGTGTTGATGTAAAACCAATATTGTCATTAAGAATCAATGTGTTCTGCTCTATAGCTATTTGCCAAACTATTGTTACTTGGACCAGTCTAGATATTGAAAGGTAGAGCTTGAGGTTACCTTACACTACTCAAAATCGATGACTGGTTTCCTGTTTCATGAACGATATCACATGGACGCACTGTGGCACGGGTCATGATAAGCGGAAATCATACACAAGAAAGAAGTTTTACACGAGTTTGGTCGATTGTACATTGATCTATCGAGAAACTATAAAGTCTCCTGTAAGCACCCCTTCTTAGGTTGACATTTGGCTTTGGCCTTACTTGTTCAGTTTTAGCTCATTTTTTTGATTAATATGTATCTTTGCCATGACTGTTCCCATCTACTGGTATAATATAGATGTCTTCTCTGACAATAACCAATCAAGAGGCCAAAGCAGGNAACGAACACTGGATGATTTACACGAAAAAAAAATTAAATAAGTGTTAACTAGAATAGAGAGAGAAATTGTGAGTTTGTGTTATTCACGGTTAGGGTTGATAATCGAATCGAGTTTTGTACATTCAAACTAAATTTTTTAAACGAGTTTAAACAATTGTTCAATCTCGATTTATTTAGAATATGAACCAAACTCGAGTTGAATTATTTTTGAATCGAGCCTGCATAGCTCGGCTTAATTATGAGCTTTATTCATGGTGTCATAATTATTAGTCCAATTATTGTAAGTAAGTTTCGGATTATCTTTGGGTATAAAATTGAATATACAGAATTTGGTAAGTATGTGATGTTGGATGTATGCAGGTACAAGTAAGCTCAAAATGGTGTGGCCGAGCTATATATTGGGTAATAGAAATTGATCACTCGTGTTGATGTAAAACCAATATTGTCATTAAGAATCAATGTGTTCTGCTCTATAGCTATTTGCCAAACTATTGTTACTTGGACCAGTCTAGATATTGAAAGGTAGAGCTTGAGGTTACCTTACACTACTCAAAATCGATGACTGGTTTCCTGTTTCATGAACGATATCACATGGACGCACTGTGGCACGGGTCATGATAAGCGGAAATCATACACAAGAAAGAAGTTTTACACGAGTTTGGTCGATTGTACATTGATCTATCGAGAAACTATAAAGTCTCCTGTAAGCACCCCTTCTTAGGTTCTACTGGTATAATATAGATGTCTTCTCTGACAATAACCAATCAAGAGGCCAAAGCAGGAGCCAAAGCCAACGGATTGATATCGGACGATACATGACAATCCAACAACGAGGACCCAAACAAATTGGTCGACTAGTTCATGATATCTCTAAAATCACTCTGAGACTCGTGATTTATACTTAACATGCGTCGATCTCAAAACAGTCTCATATAAGATGCAATTCCAATTGCANAGTTGAATTATTTTTGAATCGAGCCTGCATAGCTCGGCTTAATTATGAGCTTTATTCATGGTGTCATAATTATTAGTCCAATTATTGTAAGTAAGTTTCGGATTATCTTTGGGTATAAAATTGAATATAAAGAATTTGGTAAGTATGTGATGTTGGATGTATGCAGGTACAAGTAAGCTCAAAATGGTGTGGCCAAGCTATATATTGGGTAATAGAAATTGATCACTCGTGTTGATGTAAAACCAATATTGTCATTAAGAATCAATGTGTTCTGCTCTATAGCTATTTGCCAAACTATTGTTACTTGGACCAGTCTAGATATTGAAAGGTAGAGCTTGAGGTTACCTTACACTACTCAAAATCGATGACTGGTTTCCTGTTTCATGAACGATATCACATGGACGCACTGTGGCACGGGTCATGATAAGCGGAAATCATACACAAGAAAGAAGTTTTACACGAGTTTGGTCGATTGTACATTGATCTATCGAGAAACTATAAAGTCTCCTGTAAGCACCCCTTCTTAGGTTCTACTGGTATAATATAGATGTCTTCTCTGACAATAACCAATCAAGAGGCCAAAGCAGGAGCCAAAGCCAACGGATTGATATCGGACGATACATGACAATCCAACAACGAGGACTCAAACAAATTGGTCGACTAGTTCATGATATCTCTAAAATCACTCTGAGACTCGTGATTTATACTTAACATGCGTCGATCTCAAAACAGTCTCATATAAGATGCAATTCCAATTGCCATACAAAATAATTCTTCTAGGAAACTCATTTCAGACACGTATAATTATACTTGTTCCTTTTCATATTCAACTGACTGTGGTGAACTGTGCTGGCTTTACATATAAATGATCATTAACTCACAATACTATGGACAACATGAGGGATACACTATACAAATAACAACAAAAACTAAATTGCTGATACAGAATTTACAGATTCATATTCACTAAGGAACTAAAGAATATTGCTTATGCTTAACTTCCATCAAACACCGGTGTGACTGTTCTTCTTGCTTATCTTCTTTCTTCCGTCTATCTGATCTTTCATACTCTCGTATATCCACAGAGGAAAACTACAACTCATCTTGCAATTTAGTAGGAAGTTAAATTGCAAAAGATCCCGAAGCCCTTATAGTTGATGCTGTGAATTGTGATGACCCATTGATCAGAAACGGTTCTCACCAGTTCATTAGCACAACTACGCATGTTACCATGCCCCAGCAGGCTGGTGGCTTGGATGGGCCAAATTAATCGAGAAATTGTAGTTCGAATATCTAGCCTCCGCACACCCCTTCAGAATGATAATACTGTTAAGTATGATGCTTACTGATGAAAATGATGTACAAACCAGCCATTTTTCAGACTTCCTGAGCCATCTGTTTCTGCTGATTAAGAACATTCAAGTCCCTGGTGAAGTTGCTCTCTTGTGCTTTAAAAAGCTCTTCATAGTACCTTATCCAATATGATGGCTTCCTACCATTTTCCACCAATTCTAAGCTCCCATGATTACCTTTTAGAATCTCTAAAACCTGCAAAAGAAATTGCCAGTAAATCTTCTTGTTCCCACTCCCAACAATATTAGGTTTCTTTTTTTGGCTTGGAATAATCAGATTGATCAAAGCCTCATTAAATCTCATACTTTATTTTGTATATTTGATAAAAATGTGAATTTTTTGTTGGAGATTGGTACATGCCTGACTAATTTTCGGACGTTGAATTGAAGACTGCTGCACACATAAGGAGGCAGCCAAAACAACGATCTTCATCTGTAGTGAGTCGTAGTTATCACCAAGTGAAGGATCAACAAGCTCTCTGATCCTGTTCTTCTTAAGCAGGGGTTTTGCCTAGCACAAGTACATTAGAATCCTCAGCAGCCATCTCTTTGCATTAGTGCTCAGTGTGTGTGTGTGTAGGAGAAACTCCTGGTTTGGATCGAGAAAAGGGCAAGAGGCATACCCACAAAACAAGGCTTTGCTGTGAGTAATCAAGAGCTCGACGTCCACTGATGAGTTCCAACAGCAGCACACCAAAGGCGAAAACATCCGTCTTTTCATCCACTATACCATGCATTAAGAACTCCGGAGCAAGATAGCTATAATGGTATTAAATTTAGGGACAATTCATGTACGAAATCATAAACCAAAAAAAAAGGGTAGATGAGGAATGTTATGTTTACATACCCAAAGGTGCCTTCAAACTTTGAGATAGTGTGGTGAGTCCATTGCTCCGGCAGCCATTTTGCAAGCCCAAAATCACAAATCTGAATCGAAAACCATAAACATTTAGGTCCAAAGATCCCTAATCACCTTAAAAACATAAACTTCACTTCTGGCTGGTTTTTGGTGTTAATAAGAATAGCTAAAAAAGAACAGATATCAAAAACATATAACCATGATTGATGGTCAGACATGTTGATATGAACATATTGAATGAGAAAATATAGATGTGGATCTATAAAGTACCTGAGGCTCAAAGTCCTCTGTAAGCAATATATTTGCAGCCTTGATATCTCTGTGGATGATCCTCCTTTGACAACCCTCATGAAGATACAAAAGACCTTTAGCTGTTCCTAGTGCAACTTTATACGTAACATCCCATTCGATCATCCTCTTCGAACCTATGAAAATATTTTCATAATTATAAGAGAGTATACTTGCCAAAAAGAAAAAAAGGGCCATGGGGATTGGGGAGTTACCATGAAGCAGAGAAGCCAAACTGCCATGGGGAGACAACTCAAGAACAAGGTGCATTCCTCCTTCGACCCCATACCCGAGTAATTTAGCAGTATTTGGATGGTTAACATGGGCCATAATACCAAGCTCGGATAAGAAGTCCCCTATCTTCTCTTCGGGTGTTCCTCGTGTCAGACGTTTAATCGCAACAAGCCCCCCATCTCTCAAACACCCTTTGTAAACTTCAGCATAGCCACCCTTTCCAATCAAGTTTTCTAGATCAGGACAAAATTCAAACAACATTCAGGCAATTTTGCACTTTTTAGTCATTCCATTATGATATGAATTGCCAAGTGAATTGAAAATTCAGAATCAAAGTACTAACCATGGTTAAAACTGTTGGTTGCTTTTTGGAGTTCTAAGAGACTGAAAATTTTACAATGAGGCTTGAAATAGGTCAAGTGAGTTTCATCTACAATTGGATTTGGCACCACCACTGCAATTTCCTCTCTCATACTACGGCTAAATCTTCTAGATAGTTTCATAATAGTAAGAGGGCGCAAGGTGGCTACAGAGTTTTTTGATCTACTTCGCCAAAATCTGAAAAATCGAGCCCATCCCGAAGTAGATTTTGGGTCTCTGCAAGCTTCAAATTCTGAAGTGTTCTCTTTTGAAGAGTCTGTTTCTGATTCTAATCTCGTTAAATAGTCCTCAAGAACTGTGTCTGGAGAGTACACATCCCTTTTCCCTTTCTCCATATCTTCCACTTTCATATCTATCAAGAACAATAACATAGTCTTCAGCACTAATTTGATTATTGTGACAGATTAATATGAAAAGTATACCCACAAAGCATGAAAAAAAATGCAGAGTTTAGAATCTTTAGACTAAGCAGAGAGAGAGAGAGAGAGAGAGCAGAGCAACCAGTATTTCGAATTCGTGGTTGTTAAACTGTAACTATTAGACAAATCATGAGTCACAGAGAGTAGACTATTTAAACAAGAAAACCCTTCAAATTAAACAAGAAAAAAGGAAAAATAAAGGAAGTAAGGAACAAAAAATTAAGGAAAAAACAAACTTGAATAAAACAGTAACATATTAGAATGAAGATGAATTGTCGGACATAGAAAACAATGTTAGTGGTTCATTACAAAGGAAAGAAAAGGCCAGAACATTTCCAGTAGAGAAAGGGAAGAGAGAATGCCAAAAATCATGAAAGATTCAAAGCGCATAGAAGCAGAGTACCTGAAAAGACAGATTCAAAACTATATGGTATTCTGTTCAAAAGAGAACTTTATAATCCAAACCCAGAGGAGAACTATAAACCCCATAACATATATATGATTTCAAATACGATTCTTATAAAAAAAAACAAAAACAAAAACAAAAATTGTATTATGTATACAATATGAGTCAGTGGACATACCATAAAGAAGAAGCTGAAATTTCTCAGAGCTTCCAGAGAGAGAGAGAACCCAGAACAGGAAAGATGTGACGTCTTTTTTCTACCCGTTTCCCAGGTTATCAAGTCCTCGAAATCTGATGGGTGGAGTATATCTATGTCCGAAACAAACAGTCTTCAGTTANGGAGCCAAAGCCAACGGATTGATATCGGACGATACATGACAATCCAACAACGAGGACTCAAACAAATTGGTCGACTAGTTCATGATATCTCTAAAATCACTCTGAGACTCGTGATTTATACTTAATATGCGTCGATCTCAAAACAGTCTCATATAAGATGCAATTCCAATTGCCATACAAAATAATTCTTCTAGGAAACTCATTTCAGACACGTATAATTATACTTGTTCCTTTTCATATTCAACTGACTGTGGTGAACTGTGCTGGCTTTACATATAAATGATCATTAACTCACAATACTATGGACAACATGAGGGATACACTATACAAATAACAACAAAAACTAAATTGCTGATACAGAATTTACAGATTCATATTCACTAAGGAACTAAAGAATATTGCTTATGCTTAACTTCCATCAAACACCGGTGTGACTGTTCTTCTTGCTTATCTTCTTTCTTCCGTCTATCTGATCTTTCATACTCTCGTATATCCACAGAGGAAAACTACAACTCATCTNATGGTCAGACATGTTGATATGAACATATTGAATGAGAAAATATAGATGTGGATCTATAAAGTACCTGAGGCTCAAAGTCCTCTGTAAGCAATATATTTGCAGCCTTGATATCTCTGTGGATGATCCTCCTTTGACAACCCTCATGAAGATACAAAAGACCTTTAGCTGTTCCTAGTGCAACTTTATACGTAACATCCCATTCGATCATCCTCTTCGAACCTATGAAAATATTTTCATAATTATAAGAGAGTATACTTGCCAAAAAGAAAAAAAGGGCCATGGGGATTGGGGAGTTACCATGAAGCAGAGAAGCCAAACTGCCATGGGGAGACAACTCAAGAACAAGGTGCATTCCTCCTTCGACCCCATACCCGAGTAATTTAGCAGTATTTGGATGGTTAACATGGGCCATAATACCAAGCTCGGATAAGAAGTCCCCTATCTTCTCTTCGGGTGTTCCTCGTGTCAGACGTTTAATCGCAACAAGCCCCCCATCTCTCAAACACCCTTTGTAAACTTCAGCATAGCCACCCTTTCCAATCAAGTTTTCTAGATCAGGACAAAATTCAAACAACATTCAGGCAATTTTGCACTTTTTAGTCATTCCATTATGATATGAATTGCCAAGTGAATTGAAAATTCAGAATCAAAGTACTAACCATGGTTAAAACTGTTGGTTGCTTTTTGGAGTTCTAAGAGACTGAAAATTTTACAATGAGGCTTGAAATAGGTCAAGTGAGTTTCATCTACAATTGGATTTGGCACCACCACTGCAATTTCCTCTCTCATACTACGGCTAAATCTTCTAGATAGTTTCATAATAGTAAGAGGGCGCAAGGTGGCTACAGAGTTTTTTGATCTACTTCGCCAAAATCTGAAAAATCGAGCCCATCCCGAAGTAGATTTTGGGTCTCTGCAAGCTTCAAATTCTGAAGTGTTCTCTTTTGAAGAGTCTGTTTCTGATTCTAATCTCGTTAAATAGTCCTCAAGAACTGTGTCTGGAGAGTACACATCCCTTTTCCCTTTCTCCATATCTTCCACTTTCATATCTATCAAGAACAATAACATAGTCTTCAGCACTAATTTGATTATTGTGACAGATTAATATGAAAAGTATACCCACAAAGCATGAAAAAAAATGCAGAGTTTAGAATCTTTAGACTAAGCAGAGAGAGAGAGAGAGAGAGAGCAGAGCAACCAGTATTTCGAATTCGTGGTTGTTAAACTGTAACTATTAGACAAATCATGAGTCACAGAGAGTAGACTATTTAAACAAGAAAACCCTTCAAATTAAACAAGAAAAAAGGAAAAATAAAGGAAGTAAGGAACAAAAAATTAAGGAAAAAACAAACTTGAATAAAACAGTAACATATTAGAATGAAGATGAATTGTCGGACATAGAAAACAATGTTAGTGGTTCATTACAAAGGAAAGAAAAGGCCAGAACATTTCCAGTAGAGAAAGGGAAGAGAGAATGCCAAAAATCATGAAAGATTCAAAGCGCATAGAAGCAGAGTACCTGAAAAGACAGATTCAAAACTATATGGTATTCTGTTCAAAAGAGAACTTTATAATCCAAACCCAGAGGAGAACTATAAACCCCATAACATATATATGATTTCAAATACGATTCTTATAAAAAAAAACAAAAACAAAAACAAAAATTGTATTATGTATACAATATGAGTCAGTGGACATACCATAAAGAAGAAGCTGAAATTTCTCAGAGCTTCCAGAGAGAGAGAGAACCCAGAACAGGAAAGATGTGACGTCTTTTTTCTACCCGTTTCCCAGGTTATCAAGTCCTCGAAATCTGATGGGTGGAGTATATCTATGTCCGAAACAAACAGTCTTCAGTTATAAGTATCTAACTGCAGAGTGCTGACAACGATCTCTCTCTCTCTCTCTAAATTTACCAGGAAAATTATCCATCAAGCTGCTGTTAAAGCACAAAGCGGTTTTTGTAATGGGATTTGGATATCTCCTTGTAAAAGAAGGAAATATAAATTTTGTTTTATTTTATCTTACTTTTGGCATATTTCTTTTTTTTTTTTTAAAAAAATTACAAATTTTTGACGTGGTTCGAATCTCTATCAAAACATAAAACTGATATATAGATTGAAAACTAGATTCATGCACCGAAATTTATCCTTAATTTTATTCGGACTCACAGAACGATTTAAACACNACAGAATTTACAGATTCATATTTACTAAGGAACTAAAGAATATTGCTTATGCTTAACTTCCATCAAACACCGGTGTGACTGTTCTTCTTGCTTATCTTCTTTCTTCCGTCTATCTGATCTTTCATACTCTCGTATATCCACAGAGGAAAACTACAACTCATCTTGCAATTTAGTAGGAAGTTAAATTGCAAAAGATCCCGAAGCCCTTATAGTTGATGCTGTGAATTGTGATGACCCATTGATCAGAAACGGTTCTCACCAGTTCATTAGCACAACTACGCATGTTACCANAAACTACAACTCATCTTGCAATTTAGTAGGAAGTTAAATTGCAAAAGATCCCGAAGCCCTTATAGTTGATGTTGTGAATTGTGATGACCCATTGATCAGAAACGGTTCTCACCAGTTCATTAGCACAACTACGCATGTTACCGNAACTATGTATAATTTTAATTAATTATTATTATTATTTATGAAATTGTAGAATTCTTTTAACAAGATTTATTTGTGTCCGACCAACAAGTATTGTGATAATTTTTCATCGAGNCAGAATTTACAGATTCATATTCACTAAGGAACTAAAGAATATTGCTTATGCTTAACTTCCATCAAACACCGGTGTGACTGTTCTTCTTGCTTATCTTCTTTCTTCCGTCTATCTGATCTTTCATACTCTCGTATATCCACAGAGGAAAACTACAACTCATCTTGCAATTTAGTAGGAAGTTAAATTGCAAAAGATCCCGAAGCCCTTATAGTTGATGTTGTGAATTGTGATGACCCATTGATCAGAAACGGTTCTCACCAGTTCATTAGCACAACTACGCATGTTACCGTGCCCCAGCAGGCTGGTGGCTTGGATGGGCCAAATTAATCGAGAAATTGTAGTTCGAATATCTAGCCTCCGCACACCCCTTCAGAATGATAATACTGTTAAGTATGATGCTTACTGATGAAAAATGATGTACAAACCAGCCATTTTTCAGACTTCCTGAGCCATCTGTTTCTGCTGATTAAGAACATTCAAGTCCCTGGTGAAGTTGCTCTCTTGTGCTTTAAAAAGCTCTTCATAGTACCTTATCCAATATGATGGCTTCCTACCATTTTCCACCAATTCTAAGCTCCCATGATTACCTTTTAGAATCTCTAAAACCTGCAAAAGAAATTGCCAGTAAATCTTCTTGTTCCCACTCCCAACAATATTAGGTTTCTTTTTTTGGCTTGGAATAATAATCAGATTGATCAAAGCCTCATTAAATCTCATACTTTATTTTGTATATTTGATAAAAATGTGAATTTTTTGTTGGAGATTGGTACATGCCTGACTAATTTTCGGACGTTGAATTGAAGACTGCTGCACACATAAGGAGGCAGCCAAAACAACGATCTTCATCTGTAGTGAGTCGTAGTTATCACCAAGTGAAGGATCAACAAGCTCTCTGATCCTGTTCTTCTTAAGCAGGGGTTTTGCCTAGCACAAGTACATTAGAATCCTCAGCAGCCATCTCTTTGCATTAGTGCTCAGTGTGTGTGTGTGTAGGAGAAACTCCTGGTTTGGATCGAGAAAAGGGCAAGAGGCATACCCACAAAACAAGGCTTTGCTGTGAGTAATCAAGAGCTCGACGTCCACTGATGAGTTCCAACAGCAGCACACCAAAGGCGAAAACATCCGTCTTTTCATCCACTATACCATGCATTAAGAACTCCGGAGCAAGATAGCTATAATGGTATTAAATTTAGGGACAATTCATGTACGAAATCATAAACCAAAAAAAAAGGGTAGATGAGGAATGTTATGTTTACATACCCAAAGGTGCCTTCAAACTTTGAGATAGTGTGGTGAGTCCATTGCTCCGGCAGCCATTTTGCAAGCCCAAAATCACAAATCTGAATCGAAAACCATAAACATTTAGGTCCAAAGATCCCTAATCACCTTAAAAACATAAACTTCACTTCTGGCTGGTTTTTGGTGTTAATAAGAATAGCTAAAAAAGAACAGATATCAAAAACATATAACCATGATTGATGGTCAGACATGTTGATATGAACATATTGAATGAGAAAATATAGATGTGGATCTATAAAGTACCTGAGGCTCAAAGTCCTCTGTAAGCAATATATTTGCAGCCTTGATATCTCTGTGGATGATCCTCCTTTGACAACCCTCATGAAGATACAAAAGACCTTTNAAAAAAAAAAAAAAAAAGGGAAAGTTCTCATCCGTGCATATAAAAACTATGTATAATTTTAATTAATTATTATTATTATTTATGAAATTGTAGAATTCTTTTAACAAGATTTATTTGTGTCCGACCAACAAGTATTGTGATAATTTTTCATCGAGTGTGAGCAAGAAGTTTATAGATAGCACTATCACATGGTACCCGCTAAGCAATGAATATTTTTTTAGTACAAATTTTCTTCATATAAATTACAGGAATTTTATGGAATTCACTATTTCTAAATTTGCCCGCCTCTGATCGACAATTAGTAATTTGTAATTGCATAAAATTGAGTAAAAATATAAGGGAGAATATCAATTCACTTTGAAAAAATTTCAATCACACCTTCTTTAGTTCATCATATTTTCAAAGGCACCTCTTATATTTTTTGAATCTTAATTGACGCCCCTTATAAGATTAAAAATGTTAACTAGAATACAATTTTACTAAATTCNATGTTACCGTGCCCCAGCAGGCTGGTGGCTTGGATGGGCCAAATTAATCGAGAAATTGTAGTTCGAATATCTAGCCTCCGCACACCCCTTCAGAATGATAATACTGTTAAGTATGATGCTTACTGATGAAAATGATGTACAAACCAGCCATTTTTCAGACTTCCTGAGCCATCTGTTTCTGCTGATTAAGAACATTCAAGTCCCTGGTGAAGTTGCTCTCTTGTGCTTTAAAAAGCTCTTCATAGTACCTTATCCAATATGATGGCTTCCTACCATTTTCCACCAATTCTAAGCTCCCATGATTACCTTTTAGAATCTCTAAAACCTGCAAAAGAAATTGCCAGTAAANTATAAAATATAAGAGATGTGAGTGATGTTTTTAATAATAATTGGGGTGTTCTTGAAGATATAGTAAATTAAAAGGGGTATGACTGAAATTTTTTCATTCACATTTTTTTTATAAATTTTTTATCAAAGTAAAATAAAATAAAAATATAATAGAGATCATACCAATCANGCTTGGAATAATCAGATTGATCAAAGCCTCATTAAATCTCATACTTTATTTTGTATATTTGATAAAAATGTGAATTTTTTGTTGGAGATTGGTACATGCCTGACTAATTTTCGGACGTTGAATTGAAGACTGCTGCACACATAAGGAGGCAGCCAAAACAACGATCTTCATCTGTAGTGAGTCGTAGTTATCACCAAGTGAAGGATCAACAAGCTCTCTGATCCTGTTCTTCTTAAGCAGGGGTTTTGCCTAGCACAAGTACATTAGAATCCTCAGCAGCCATCTCTTTGCATTAGTGCTCAGTGTGTGTGTGTGTAGGAGAAACTCCTGGTTTGGATCGAGAAAAGGGCAAGAGGCATACCCACAAAACAAGGCTTTGCTGTGAGTAATCAAGAGCTCGACGTCCACTGATGAGTTCCAACAGCAGCACACCAAAGGCGAAAACATCCGTCTTTTCATCCACTATACCATGCATTAAGAACTCCGGAGCAAGATAGCTATAATGGTATTAAATTTAGGGACAATTCATGTACGAAATCATAAACCAAAAAAAAAGGGTAGATGAGGAATGTTATGTTTACATACCCAAAGGTGCCTTCAAACTTTGAGATAGTGTGGTGAGTCCATTGCTCCGGCAGCCATTTTGCAAGCCCAAAATCACAAATCTGAATCGAAAACCATAAACATTTAGGTCCAAAGATCCCTAATCACCTTAAAAACATAAACTTCACTTCTGGCTGGTTTTTGGTGTTAATAAGAATAGCTAAAAAAGAACAGATATAAAAAACATATAACCATGATTGATGGTCAGACATGTTGATATGAACATATTGAATGAGAAAATATAGATGTGGATCTATAAAGTACCTGAGGCTCAAAGTCCTCTGTAAGCAATATATTTGCAGCCTTGATATCTCTGTGGATGATCCTCCTTTGACAACCCTCATGAAGATACAAAAGACCTTTAGCTGTTCCTAGTGCAACTTTATACGTAACATCCCATTCGATCATCCTCTTCGAACCTATGAAAATATTTTCATAATTATAAGAGAGTATACTTGCCAAAAAGAAAAAAAGGGCCATGGGGATTGGGGAGTTACCATGAAGCAGAGAAGCCAAACTGCCATGGGGAGACAACTCAAGAACAAGGTGCATTCCTCCTTCGACCCCATACCCGAGTAATTTAGCAGTATTTGGATGGTTAACATGGGCCATAATACCAAGCTCGGATAAGAAGTCCCCTATCTTCTCTTCGGGTGTTCCTCGTGTCAGACGTTTAATCGCAACAAGCCCCCCATCTCTCAAACACCCTTTGTAAACTTCAGCATAGCCACCCTTTCCAATCAAGTTTTCTAGATCAGGACAAAATTCAAACAACATTCAGGCAATTTTGCACTTTTTAGTCATTCCATTATGATATGAATTGCCAAGTGAATTGAAAATTCAGAATCAAAGTACTAACCATGGTTAAAACTGTTGGTTGCTTTTTGGAGTTCTAAGAGACTGAAAATTTTACAATGAGGCTTGAAATAGGTCAAGTGAGTTTCATCTACAATTGGATTTGGCACCACCACTGCAATTTCCTCTCTCATACTACGGCTAAATCTTCTAGATAGTTTCATAATAGTAAGAGGGCGCAAGGTGGCTACAGAGTTTTTTGATCTACTTCGCCAAAATCTGAAAAATCGAGCCCATCCCGAAGTAGATTTTGGGTCTCTGCAAGCTTCAAATTCTGAAGTGTTCTCTTTTGAAGAGTCTGTTTCTGATTCTAATCTCGTTAAATAGTCCTCAAGAACTGTGTCTGGAGAGTACACATCCCTTTTCCCTTTCTCCATATCTTCCACTTTCATATCTATCAAGAACAATAACATAGTCTTCAGCACTAATTTGATTATTGTGACAGATTAATATGAAAAGTATACCCACAAAGCATGAAAAAAAATGCAGAGTTTAGAATCTTTAGACTAAGCAGAGAGAGAGAGAGAGAGAGAGCAGAGCAACCAGTATTTCGAATTCGTGGTTGTTAAACTGTAACTATTAGACAAATCATGAGTCACAGAGAGTAGACTATTTAAACAAGAAAACCCTTCAAATTAAACAAGAAAAAAGGAAAAATAAAGGAAGTAAGGAACAAAAAATTAAGGAAAAAACAAACTTGAATAAAACAGTAACATATTAGAATGAAGATGAATTGTCGGACATAGAAAACAATGTTAGTGGTTCATTACAAAGGAAAGAAAAGGCCAGAACATTTCCAGTAGAGAAAGGGAAGAGAGAATGCCAAAAATCATGAAAGATTCAAAGCGCATAGAAGCAGAGTACCTGAAAAGACAGATTCAAAACTATATGGTATTCTGTTCAAAAGAGAACTTTATAATCCAAACCCAGAGGAGAACTATAAACCCCATAACATATATATGATTTCAAATACGATTCTTATAAAAAAAAACAAAAACAAAAACAAAAATTGTATTATGTATACAATATGAGTCAGTGGACATACCATAAAGAAGAAGCTGAAATTTCTCAGAGCTTCCAGAGAGAGAGAGAACCCAGAACAGGAAAGATGTGACGTCTTTTTTCTACCCGTTTCCCAGGTTATCAAGTCCTCGAAATCTGATGGGTGGAGTATATCTATGTCCGAAACAAACAGTCTTCAGTTATAAGTATCTAACTGCAGAGTGCTGACAACGATCTCTCTCTCTCTCTCTAAATTTACCAGGAAAATTATCCATCAAGCTGCTGTTAAAGCACAAAGCGGTTTTTGTAATGGGATTTGGATATCTCCTTGTAAAAGAAGGAAATATAAATTTTGTTTTATTTTATCTTACTTTTGGCATATTTCTTTTTTTTTTTTTAAAAAAATTACAAATTTTTGACGTGGTTCGAATCTCTATCAAAACATAAAACTGATATATAGATTGAAAACTAGATTCATGCACCGAAATTTATCCTTAATTTTATTCGGACTCACAGAACGATTTAAACACAAATTTTTGTAGGCATAAGGTGGTCGGATCCGATATAAGTATTTCTAAAGCAGAACTGCCACGTGCACGTATACACACCTATTTTGATTCTTTGAAAGTTGGCTGTTTTGGTCAAAATTTGGTTATCTTTGTCAAATTTCGGTTAGGTAGGCCAAATTATATCAATGAGAAAAAAAAAAAAAAAAGGGAAAGTTCTCATCCGTGCATATAAAAACTATGTATAATTTTAATTAATTATTATTATTATTTATGAAATTGTAGAATTCTTTTAACAAGATTTATTTGTGTCCGACCAACAAGTATTGTGATAATTTTTCATCGAGTGTGAGCAAGAAGTTTATAGATAGCACTATCACATGGTACCCGCTAAGCAATGAATATTTTTTTAGTACAAATTTTCTTCATATAAATTACAGGAATTTTATGGAATTCACTATTTCTAAATTTGCCCGCCTCTGATCGACAATTAGTAATTTGTAATTGCATAAAATTGAGTAAAAATATAAGGGAGAATATCAATTCACTTTGAAAAAATTTCAATCACACCTTCTTTAGTTCATCATATTTTCAAAGGCACCTCTTATATTTTTTGAATCTTAATTGACGCCCCTTATAAGATTAAAAATATTAACTAGAATACAATTTTACTAAATTCTCCATGATATATTTGAGGACAAACTTCGTCCACATCCCCTCTACAAAAGTATATCTTTAGTAAGACCCCTCAATTTTTTAATTTTTTTTACGTATTAAAATTCAGGCCAATTAAATTTTGATTTAAAATTTATTTTTTACGTATTGAAATTTGAGTCGATTAAAAATTATATTTTTTTATGTATTAAATTTTGAACCTATTGAAAATCATTTTTAATCGACTTAAATCAAATTTTAATTAACTTGCATTAAATTTTAATTTGCCCAAATGTTAATACATAAAAAATATAAATTTTTATTGACTCAAATTTTAATTGTCACGAATTTTAATAAGTAAAAAAATATAAATTTTAATTGACTCGAAAATGAATTTTAATCGGCATTAACAACTCAGGTAGAGTTCAAATCGGCTTGAATTTTTATACATAAAAACAATTTAATAGGTTCAAATTTAAATACCTAAAAAAAAATTAATCAGCTCGAATCGAATTTTAACCAGTTCAAATTTTAATATGTAGAAAATTAAATTTTAATCAACTCGAATTGTAATATGTAGAAAAATAAATTTGAATCGGTTCGGATTTTAATAATATTTTATGTGAAAATATTATTTGGGGTTTATGTAGGATTATTTTTGGTATTTTAGATGAATTTTTTTTATTAAAAATAATAGTTTAGTGGCAGGAAGTGTCAGTGACGTTTAAATATAAAATATAAGAGATGTGAGTGATGTTTTTAATAATAATTGGGGTGTTCTTGAAGATATAGTAAATTAAAAGGGGTATGACTGAAATTTTTTCATTCACATTTTTTTTATAAATTTTTTATCAAAGTAAAATAAAATAAAAATATAATAGAGATCATACCAATCACCTATTTTACACAAATATTCTACTATTTACTTTTGAAAATTTTAGCTGGTTGTTCGAATATTATATTTTATAAAAACAATTGGGAAAAAAGTGTTACTCTTGGAGAATTTTTGGTACATAATTTTATATTTAATAAAAACAATTGGTTGGTTGGATCAGCCCTATCTGCTCAAGAAATTGGTTGCCAAGAGTGGTTCAAGTGCTCTTATTATGGATCTTCCAAATCTTTTAGATAAGTGGATAAACTTTTTTATTTGTTTTTTTTGTTACTGGATGTCCAAATTTGTACCGACTATTCTCTCAAGTTCAATAGTTAACTACCGTAACTTGAACTGGGTTAAAACATGTCTCTAAACGGATCAAGATAGTTAACCCTTAAAGAGTGTGATAAGAAATTAAACCTAAGATATCATAGTCTCAAGAATCAAACTCAACTAATGAACCATAAGTGGAATTTCCTATATAAAATTTTAGCAACAACACCAAACCAATTATATCACTTACTACCACAATGAACTTTAATCAATTGTGATTACCAACTGTAATGACAAAATCTCATATTTTTTAGTGTCGAGGCCACAAAGTTTTTATATCTCTCTCTAGGTTTTGGTTTAGATAGGCCTATGAAAATATGACATGACGCGATTAAACGACGTGAATTGACATAGGGGTAAGTGAGTTTGAGTGAAATCTTAACGAGTATAGATGGATCTATTAGACCCATTTAATAAACAAGTCGTGTTTGAGATGAAATATGTTAATCCGTTTAAATAAAATTAATATAATATTTGTGAGTATATGATAAGTTTGAGTTTAAAACTTTAACTATACACCACTTTTAAATCTTTATGAAACTAGCTTAAAATAGATAATATTATGACACGAAAGTTCCATATGTTGTGCAGTTTTAATTAGAATATTACTACTTAAATCCAATTTACTTCAATACTTCGTTAACTCAGTCCACTCAAATGTAGTAATAAATTATTGAATAATAGTAAGCATTATGTTTTCAATTACTACCGACAGTTTCATCACTCCAACAATCGTTCTCACTGTATGCAATCACTCTTGCAGTTGCATATCAAAACTCTCACGCAAAGGCAAGTAATAGAGATGGCGATTGCTTCCTTTGTTTTTTGATGTACACGTTGAGTAGGTCTGGTCACCAGCAATTAATACACATTAGGAATGTTCCAGTAATATTCCTCGAAATTTATAAGTTTTATATTCATTAATTCCGATATACGTGAATTAATTAATAATTATTCCTTTCATACATCGTAAGCGTATGTTAAAAATATTATTTATTTATTACATCTACTACTAAAGTTTTACTCAAAGTCACTATATTCGATTTTACCTTGTTTGAGGTGTAAGCAGTGTCAACATTGACATGATTTTGGTAGGTGTCTTGAAATTCCAACTTACGTTTGTTTAGTTGATTGGTTAGTGGCAGGTTTTCTATCTTAACTCACTTTTAAACCCTCTCTCTCTCTCTCTCTCTGAACTCAAACAGTGAAACACGAAGGAGATTGATATTGGTCCCCCAAAAAAAAAACAGAAAAGAAATATGCTCTTGTAGACTAAAGGAACGAGGCATATCTCCGGACCGATCATTTAATGCTAGACAGGGACATTGACCCAATAAAACGCAACGAGTAACAGAGAATGATTGTTTCTATAGACAGAACATATTAGATTGTACTTTGAATTTTAAGATGTTCAAATAAAGACATGGCCCTTAGTGACGTGAAGTTATCGGGGGCACACGAACTTAATGTTTGGTATTTATACAATAAGTGTTCGATACAGTTCAATAAATATCTTGCAGAGATCATTAAAAATATTGAAGAGACATGCATTAAGCACCAAGTGTCCCAAACATGATAATCATTGCACGGGTTGATTCTGAGAAGACACCAACCTCGCTCAAGCTTAATAATTACGTTGAATCGAGATAAGTATAATTTGTTGATGATTATCCTTATAAAAGCTCCTTTAGACGGTTTGGATTGGACTTCTATAGTATCTTGTCATCCTATTAGAAAATATAAATAACTTAATAAATTGGATCTCAAGTATGCATTCGGAAGCAACCTAGCACAACAAAAAAATTTATCCTCCTTTTGAACGCCTAATGACTTGAGCATCGAAAGGAATGAATCAAATACATCTCCAGCCCTCTATTAACATTGTTCTCTGCTGGAGGATCACTCGCACAATCTCCACCTTGGTGCAGTTATCTCAAATTATTACGGAATTCAATCTTGCACAAATTAGTTTCATTCATAAAAGTTCTTTTCTAGTTTTCTTAGT